GACGCAGCTCACACTAGTTTTTAGCTAGTTATCTCTGATTATTTACGTTTCATCCACGTAAATGTAATTTTTGGTGCAGTGTTGGCAGATTTCGTATGCGTGGGATAGGATAATTCAAATTCACAGCCGTGTAGCCTTATTGTATAGTACCGTAGCTGTAACTACGTATACGGACACTTTCACTGGAAGAAACAAATTCTGCACAAAAAATTCGAGACTAACTCAGTCAGCAAAACAGAGCATGAAGTACGCGATATTCGAACAAATTCAATTCACCTAATTGGAGCGCGAGCCACCTAGCTGGCCTTCACTTTCAGATTTTTATATGAAACAGTTAATCGCATTTTTACCTCTAAAATTTGTATAGCACTAAGGTGTCCATGGTCGAGTTCAATAATCTTAGCATGGTTAATCCCTGCAGCTTTCCATCCACAGATGTTCATACCAAAGAGGAAGAACGACAGAATAAACATAAATAAGCCCCGGTACATTCGAAATGCTGGCTCCCACTGGATGTCTCGCTCTGACGTGATAGCTAGAAAATGAATACAGAGGGTAAAATGATCGTCATTAGAAATGGAAAGGAAACTATTAATAATGTCATGAAGTTTATGCATTCAGGCTGGCATTCGCTACAGAAAACGAAAAATGGGCCGTAGCGTTATTTTTCCCTCCTTCTCCCCCCCCCCCGCAACATTACCGGCAATAAAGTAATGTTTTTTGCGAATTTTCTGTTTACCGCGCTGACCCGTATTCTTGAGGTGCAACCAATTAATTGAGCATCCGCAATGTTGGTTGATTTAACAGGACAAGCTAATTGGGGATGCTTTGTTGTCGTTACAAACGTGGCCGCTATGACGTAACATGATACAACCCAAGAACTCTGCAATGTCTGGGTAGATTTCCCTAATAGGCCCTTTGCAGTTAACGGTCACGTGTCTGTAGTGGTGAGCAAAATTTTTTATTTTATTTTAAATTGGTGATTCTTTTTAGCTACTTGTAAAGCACTGAATAAAACGATGTGTATCCAGTGTGTTACGAAATGAAGTTTTCTTAGCGATCTTTCGAAACAGGTTGCAGAAATTCTGTTTGCTCACCAGTATATTTCACCCATGGGAATCAAGATGTTTTTTCATTTGCTCTCAATGAATTAATCAGCACGTGATTACTGAGCTGCAAAGGGCCTATTCATCATGTACTTTCATAGCAGCGCACAATCTGCATCATATAACGTTGATAAAGATACCTGCTACAATCATAACTGTAAATAAGACGATGCACATCCCAACGAACAACCCAAGCCGAAATATCTGGTAAAAAGAGTGTTCTTTCTGAAGAAGAAAAAGAAAGTCACTTGGCAACTTGCATTTCAGGTTTTTAGGCCTTCCCCTGTAGAAAATATTCTTGCCTTTCATCGATATTAACTATGCTTTCATCAATCTATATTTATTGGGTCCTTCATGCAACTCGCATTCAATACATACATCTATTTYYTAATCAGATTAAACGAAGATTCATTATMTCTCATGTCGTTATTATTCCATAAGATAGAAATTTTCGAAAGTATGCTGTGTTGATGCGTCGATGTGTCGTGTATCGATGTGCGGTTCACTATAAATACAATCAAAGATATTCTTAGAATCAATCTGTGTGATCTAATACAAACTATAATAGACTTACCGAATGTGTCCCTATCGAATCCAAAAGAAAAACTCAATAACAATCTCCCATATTCCTCTTAATAACTAAATTTCATAACTAAAGTTCACGTGCTGTGTTAACTATCTTAGTTCTATCGCAATAGTACCCAGTGTCTCTCGGACAACTCTTCTGGGCCTGGTGACCTGTCGCGTACATCGCCGGCAGCACAACTCTTCTGGGCCTGGTGACCTGTCGCGTACATCCCCCTCCTTCCAGGTATCCCATTTAAAAGAACATTGGCAACCAAACACATCAGTTTAGAGATAGAATATTTAGATTTAGTCACCTGCTAGACCTTGGTAAAAAGCGGGTTACTGCGCTTTCTGGATAGATTAATGGCTTTTCACGCCATGCAAGCAAAGACATGGTACTAAAAGGACAGACACTCATAATATACTCGTAATATACATAATATTACCTTAGACCTATGTCCATCTTTTTCTGGTTTGACTTGTTTAACTGGATTTTTCTCATTATATCTTTCATGGATTTCCTCTTTCTGTAGATGGTTAAACAAATAACACGTTTACTTGAGGTGCAAGTAGTGGCATCCTGCTGGCTATCTAAATGCAGGTACTTCATGGATGACACAACCTTTGTATTCTTGGAGCAGACTTGCAAATATGACTGCAACACATATCTCGCTGCACATTTCATGGGTAACTGTAAGGGAACTGGTTACTATATATTAAAATAAAGTCAAAATTCCTTACTAACAGAAAGCATTGTTCGGAAATCGCTACTTAAGATCAAGAACGACATATACGCTAACCACACTTTCCGTAAGTAAAAAAAAAAAAATTATTCAGTCAACTCCCTATTTTAGTTAAATAACATTTATTTCTCAATGACTGAATGGATTTCCTGTGTCGAAACGATCACGGAGCACGTGATTGATGGTCATCCAATTAAAATGCGCGGATACTTCAAGGTCACGGTGACGTGACGGCATATCTGTACAGGAAATGACTTTTCATTCATCCAAAATCTGCTAACTGAAAGGTTTTGGTTGCGCGTAGGTTTTGGTTGCGCGTTTTGGTAGAGCAGAGTAAATGAAAAATTTACACTCATTCAATGCATAATATCCAGACCCTATGAAGTGGAAGAGAATGAACGTGTAAGCCAGGACATTCGGTTCATTCACTGTTAGTATAAATGCATTGTCGTATTCGGGTTTTTTTTTTCTTTTTTTTCTTTTTTTTCTTTTTTTTTTTTTTCGTTAAAAACTCGATCTGAAAAAAAAAATAGAAAAGGGATCCTGAAAGGGTGGGTAAAAGACTAGATTCAGTTTATATATTTTTGAGGCTAAAAAGTAGATTTGATATCACTGGGAAATATATCAGTGTGAATGGCAATTACAACTAGCCAAGTCAGTGGGATTCCTGCTATAAATTTCATCGTAGGGAAACATCGCTCTAAATCGAGCTAAGGGACTGACCATTAGATAGTTGGTGGGAGGGTTGCGTAAAACCCCCCAAAAATATCTAGCAAGCACTTAAACCTTAAAAAAAATATCGTGCAACCTCTTCTGTAGCCTCCTTCGCAGCCGTTCTTAGGGTCGTCACGGAAACGTTGCGTGACGACCCTAAGAACGGCTGCGAAGGAGGCTACCTCTTCTGCTAGAAGAAAATATCTAACAATACGCAAAAAAATAACGTACAAGGGTTGAGCCAAAAAAATAAATATGCAACCAAAATTCCTACAATGCATAAAAATCTATGCACAATTTACTTTTAAAAAATCTCGATGAACTCAGAAGAAGAAGGTCTTCTAGATATGTTTTTATAAAACTTGTCAGACCTCCCTTGAAGCCCCTTGAAGTCACACGTGCTAGAGTACAGGACCTTCAGTTTTTTGTCATCAAAGGAAAGCTATTTGTACGCGTAAAAAAAAGAAAGAAATTTCATGAAAATATGCTCAATGATAACATATGCTAATATAATAAATAAAAGATGCATGCCGGTTAAAGAAACGATTACAGGACATATTGTCATTTGAAACTGGTGATAAACCGTTAAAAGATTAAAAATTAAATTACAATTTAAGAATAAGAATAATAATCAAAAATGAAAATAGCTGAAAGATGTAGACTCTTCAACTAAACGCCGGACTCAACTAGAATAGAACAGACAATGAAAGACTAGAGTGTCCAGTCTTGCAAGGTAAGAGTCAATGGATTTTTATACGGTCAAGGTCATTGTGCAATCTAAGTAGCATAAGAAGTTTTTCTTGGTTAATTTACTGTACTGAACTATTTTAATAAAGCTTTCAACGTTGCATGATATTATTCACGCTATGATTTTGAATTATTCAATCAAACATATTGAACAATAGCTGTAAAGTCAAAAATGCAAATGAAGCAACGAAGAAATCTATTTTGAGCTCAATTTGAAACCCAAGATGTTGTATGGCAAACAACACTCACCACTTTAGTTTTCTTCTTCTTGTCTTCTTTAGAATACCTCAAATAAAGTCTTTTCTCTTTCCTGTCGTCCAAGGCATGGATTACTGTTAAGGTAGCGTTGAAATGCATAGCTGGTCGCACTAGAAATACACTGACTCAGCGGACTGCATTGATACTGAGAAGAGTGGATTAAGGGCAGAAGTTGAAGCCAAATGAACAATAGAGAAATTCAAGCTTCAGTCAACCACCCGGACCAAGCTTTCTTTAATTTCATCAAAATAACAGATAACTCCCGAGCAATGAGAAGATAACGAGTTGTTTGGATACAAAGGTCACTGCTGGAAAAATAAATATATTCAGTTCGGTACATTTAAATGATAAAAGAACTGTCAGGTGAGACATATTAAATTCACCGCTACGTGACAATGTCAGCGGCTTCTTTTCCGGCAGACCTCAGAGGAAACCCTTCTTGTTTTTTTATTTATTTWTTTTTCATCAATCGAATGGACCAAAAAAATTATTTTAATCAACCGTTTCTGACGCTTTCCCAACTACCTAAACCTGAACTAGAGCTCGGACCAAGCTTGTTGGACTATAAAAAGCAAAATGTTGTTGAAACGCCGTAAAAAAACTACCCTGCGAGCAGAGGATTTTTTTAAAACTCTCTCCCATCTCCCAACGGTCGGGGAGAGGGTTGAGGGTTTAAAAAAATCCTCTGCTCGCAGGGTATAAATAAACAAAACTCGGTCACCATTTTGTGCCCATAAATATATAGAAATATAGAAGGATGATTCTATATTTGGCATGAGTTTTTCCTTGGATGTAGAATTACTGAACCAAAAATCTGTTTCACCTTCAGTCCTCTGCTCATTTTCAGGACAGAATTTGCCTCTGCGAGGGAAGCCGACTAATAATGTTTTACCCTATATGAACAGCTTGATAAGATGATTTCATGGTCGGCTTAACATCAGGATGTGGGTACTCTTTAGTCATGCATGATCTTCCCGAGGCCACGGTCCGGATGGAGTGATCAGGTTCATGCTGCTATTTACTTCGCGACATGATTCGGTGTTAGCTCAAGGTCTAACAACTCTGAACTGCTAAGTACCAGCGCATATACTGGAGTTTTAAGAGTGGTCAATAAGMTGGTGAAAAACACCTTTTACTTAGATTCTGGGATTTCAGTTGGGACTTCCCGACACTCTACCAGATTATCCACGAGTCTCAACATTTTGGACGTCATATCCCGAGTAGTGCCCAATATCTCGAGCTCCTGGATAATTGTCATCGTTGACATCCATTCTCCATAACTGAATATTTCGTGGGGGGGGGGGGGGAACAATTAAATTTGGATTTCGATTTTCGTATAGTCCCCCTTTAACTGAACATCTACAGATGGTTAGACCTTCACGTGGCCACGTTAGCCATCCCCTTTAGACTTAAATTTCTCAGCATTATCCTTAGTAAGCCACCCCTTTTCCTCGCATTCCTAGTAAAACCTTTGTAATAGTCACCCCCTTGCTAAAATTCCTGGATCCGCCACTGCACACCCTGGATCACCATCCCACAATCATACCATTAAGAAATCATTAGTAAAGGCCAGATACTAGGGGGTGGTCACTGCGAGGGTTTCATTACATCCTCAGTAAGTGGTTGTTTTAAGGGGGTTGGAAATTGGTGCAATGTACCCAGTCAAAGGGGAACCAGCTGGCTGTGTCTCATTGTGCAGCACCAGCCTGCGGGGTAAATCTTAAACTAAATAATGAAAAACAACAGATACATTACTAGAAAATGTTTTTATAAGTGCACTTCTAATACAACACTACTGACTGACACTGTCATAGCAACAGGGCACTAGTGCGATGTAAACTCGGTTATGCTTTTTCTTCAACTAGTTGGGGTGGGGGAAATAACAAGAAAAAATGTCCAAATCTAAGAATAAGAAAATATCTTCGAAACTATTAATACTACCTATATAATCATCAAGACGAACAAAAGGCCTTACATATGACCCATATCTGATCAGCACAGAATTGGCCATTCTTTCAAAATGACAATGAAGTATCAAACTCCATCTCATTACTTTATGAACTTTATTGGAAATACAAAAATATATTGGATTGGACTATAAATGCAATTTAATTGGTTAGACTAAGAGAAAATCGTTATAGATATAAAATTGTGCTAAGCTTCATATTTGATTACATTGATCAAGACGTCAAAGTCCATGTGAATTCTTATCAAATATTTATTTTCTAATCGTCATCTAAAGAAGTTGAAGAGGCACTTCTGATTCCTGAATATCCCCTACGAGATGTCTGGAAAAAAAGAAAAGAAATGTCAAGGATACTAAGAATTGGACTTGCTCGAAGTGACACTCAAAGTGGCTGAGAATTAGAGATTCTGTCAACCAACATCAACATCACCACCAATATCATTATCACCAAAATCTTTCATGTCATATGTAGCCACAATTCGCATCCCCATTAACATCGTCAAATATTTTTTGTCCATCATAGCCACAATTTCCACCGCTGTTTTTCATATTCATCGTCATTGCCCTGCTCATAATCATCTTTTTCATCATAATCTTGTTTTCATTCTTCGTCAATCTCACCACCACCACCACCAGGACCTCACACGATACAACATTTCAACCCATGAAGAAAGACTTTTACAAAAAAAAAAATCAATAATAATTAACAATAATTGAGATAGATATATAAAAATATGCATAAAAATAAATATGACGTCATGACTTAGTATAGAATAATGTTTAGTAAGAATAAGAATGAATTGAAGTAGGAGACTTGAAGAGTGAAGAAACCGTTGTCTAGATAATAAGACAGACACTACGCAGCACAATCAGTTTTCTGTAGCTCGAGTTAGATGTATCGTTTATGAATTTTCATGCAAATCAGAGAAATTAAAAGTAAACTTCTCGAGAAATAGCTTATGCAACAAATGAATCCATCGAGATGGCTTACTTATCAATTAAGTGGACGAGGTTTGACGAAAGAATATCGATTGAAAAGCGATAAATGAACGAAGGTCATCGAGATGGCTTCGTTATTAATTATGTGGACGAAGTTTGGAGAAAGAGAATCGATTGACAAACGAAGACCAGCGAGTTGACTTCGTTATGGTTTAATTGACAAATGTTATATATGATTTTAAAAAGCCTAAGGAACGTTTTTGTTATGGATAAAATGTGAAAGCTTTAACGAAAGACATGCTCGACAGTGTGCACCGTTGTAATTGGTCCGATTGGATCAGCATTTGCATCAGCGGTACCTACTATTGCAAGGGAAATGGTACACGGTGCCACTGTCTATTCACGCCTTGAAGTCTGCAGTATAATTCATATCAAAATATATAAGTCATTTTATAAATAGAATAAAGAATTTCAACACTCAAGTGAAATTTCTTTGCCAAAAACACGAAAACTTTTCCTCGAGGGACAATGGCGCATTGTTGCCAATTCAAGGGTGTTAATTAAGGAACATGGATTAGAAATGATCCCGACCGCAGTTTTCATAACAGTTCACTCATCATCTAATATCAAAAATGTGCAAAACAAACATGTCATTAGTACTTAATTCATGGATATAAGGAAAGATAATATTAAAAAAGAGTAACAACAGTAAAAAAAGTAGGTATTTATAGGAAATGTTAGTTAGAAAGATGAAGATTTACATTTAAAGAATTAGAAGACAAAGTTATTGAAATTAAAGCATGACTACAAAAGAGCCTCCTAAGAACCCAAGTACTCTAAGAGGCGTCATTAAAACTATGCTAATTGCTCCAAAGAAAAGAATTTGACAGCCGGAATTTGGAGAGATAGTAAACTTTTATGAAACTTCAGTAAATTGAAGTGGTCTGTATTTACACTTATGAAGAAAAGTGAGATTTTGTGGCTTAATTTTGATTGGCCAACTGCTGCAGGCTCACATTAGCTCACATCTACGTTTTTCAACTTAAGCACGACGAAGAAATCTCAAAACGCTTTATAAGATCAAGCTTCAAAACACTCCAAATTAGTCCCAAACTATTCCTGTAAGCCTGTTGAAAGCTTTTTGGTCAATAAAGCCTTTCGATTTTAATCCTTCTTAAATCGCTTTACAAATAGACCAATTAAAAGAGATTATGGAAAGGACGAAATGAACCATAACAAAATCGATTCCATTCTGACAATTTGACTGAAAGAGCAGTATGAATAGAAACAAAGAGTTTAAGGACTTTTCTGCGTAATTCACAGAATGCTACCCTTGGTGCTGAAGGATTTTGTTTTACTACTCGAGGTTATCGACAGCAGTGACATGTTTGTCAACTTTCAGATGGGCGCCAGCCAAATCTGAACCTATTGAATAAATATTTGATTATCGCTACCACGAAACGTTCTTAACCTAAACGAATTCATTCCAGGGAAGAAATCATTTTATTTTCCAATGGGAGATGATGGTGAGATAGATATATTATTTTTGTGCGTTCCTTGTAAATACACGCCATAATATTTCCACAACTGATCTAGTGCTTCAAAAATATAGAGTAAATACAGAAAAATRTCTAATCTAGAAATTCCTTAAATCATGCAGTTCAAAGTAATTTAGGAGAATCTTAGATTTAGAAAGAATGAAAAGAAAGAAGAATCAGAATTAGAATATATTAGAATAGCGATTGAATTTAAAATTGGAAGTCCTAATAGAGACCTCTCGTGATGATGTCCTCATCACCCCACTGGAACGTCCGCCACCACGACCACGGGCCTTCTGTAATGAACTCTCCAAAGTTTCAACCCTTTCTTCGGCTTCCTCCAGTTCGGCCTGGCTCTTGCGGTAGCGTGCAAGATTTGATGCAGCAAGGGCTTCCTGCAAAAGAGAGTAAAGATGGAATCTTAGAAATCGAAATGTTTGTTAAGATTGTTTTTACAACGATATCGCAAGACAAAAGAAGGAAAGCACTGAAAGAGAAGGACGAAGGGCAGAAGAAAAGAAGGAAGTAGCTTACCGCTTCTTCCACAGCAACGCGCATTTTCTTGATTTTGTTGTTGAGTCTGTCGGCATTCTCCTGTGCACGACTCAAGTTCTTCTGGTCCTCGTCGGCTTGGAATTGAACCTCTTTCATGCGGCGTTCGTTCTTCTTTGCCAACTTCTGAGCTTCGTTGCTGCGCTTGGCCTCTCCTTCCAGATCGCGTTCTAATTCTTTGACCTAATTGGGAAAGAGAAGACAAATAAGTACTTGAAGGAGAGCGTGCTTGGGTGGGTGAATTTTGATAAAGACGCCTACCCTCTGTTCGAGTTTCTTGATCTGGTTCTTTAGCGCCTTTCCACCAGCAGCTTCGAGCTCTTCAATCTTAAGTTGCAGATCTTTCTGCATGCGTTCTGCAGATAAGCGAGAACGCTCAGCTGCTCCAGCGGCGTCTTGAGCAGCAAGAAGCTCGGCTTGGACGCGGAGAAGCTGAGAAGCGCAAAAAAAAAATCAATTTTAGATAAAATATTATTATATATATATATATGTATACACACACACTTGATTGCAGAAAGGTTGTAGTACACATTTATACAGATACCTAATGAGATGCAAGACATCAAATGATATGCAGAACGTAAAACATGCTTAAATACGATTGCTTAGCCACTACATTTTGTAGAAAATACTCTTTTAACTTTACTTTGTGTAATACTTATGTCTCTGATACAAGAGAAGATAAGGAAGACCAAATAAGTTACTTTTTACGTTTTGCATCTCATTTGATATCTTGCATCTCATTASATATATGTATAAATGTATACTACAACCTTTTTGCAATCAAGTGTATATATATTACAGTGGAAGAAGTACCTCTGCAGCCGCCTTTTTAGCACGGTCATCAGCTGCTTTAGCCTCGTTTTCTGCCTCATCCAGCTCTTCCTGCATGGTGTTGACTTGTCCATCAAGTTTGCGCTTGGCTTGTTGAAGGCCGTTGACTTGGTTAGTGAGTTCAGAGAGACGGTCTGTTGCCTCAGTTCTCTCTTGGTCAGCAGCGCGGCGTGCACGGTCAGCCTGCAATAAGATGCGATAGCAATATTAGAATTTCAGAAATCAATAACCATTATCTCATAATTGCATGATCTTATAAATGCCAATGATCTATACCTGCTCAAGTTGATTTCTCAAGTCCTCCAACTCAGAATTAAGTTCTGCAGCCTTGCGTTCAGCACGAGAAGCAGCATCTCGGGCATCATCACGACCACGTTGTTCTTCCTCAACCATGACTTGCAAGTCTTTCACTTGCTGTTGTTGTTTCTTGATGTTCTTCTGGTATTCTTGGTTGGCCTGAAATCAGAACAAATACTTAGTCCCTTTTTTACAGTAATCTTGGCCATGCACCCAGAATAAATAATGTTTTCGACTTACCTTCATCAAGTTCTCAACGTTGTTCTCAAGTTCAATGCAGTCGCTCTCGAACTTCTTCCTGAGACGAGCCTAGAAAAAATGCAAGCGCATTCTGGGTCAGTACATGTACAGCCGTTTTATGACTGTGATACCACAGGTATCCCAGTAATTAGAATCCTACCTGCTCGTTTTTGGCTTTGACTTCAGCATCAAGGGATCCTTGAAGAGCATCAAGTTGACGTTGTTGGTTCTTTCTTAGGTTGTCAATCTCCTCATCCCTGTCAGCCAGTTTGCGGTCAAAGTCTTGCCTGACTTGGGTCAGCTCAAGTTGTACCTTAAGAACCTTGCCTTCTTCGGCTTCCAAGGCACCTTCGGCTTCCTATTCATTTTATATAATGAAAGCATGAAACTTAATACATTATTAAAAAATCTGTACAAATTTCCCTCGATGCTCTTTGTATTGTCCCTTTTCTCGCACACTTACCTCTAAGGCGGTCTGGAGCTCTTCCTTCTCCATCTCCAAACGTTTCCTTAGTTTTCCGAGCTCAACAGTATTCCTACCACCCTCACCAAGTTGTTCTTGCAGATCATGGACGTCACCTTAAGGGAAAAACGAAAGAGATGTCACACACCAAGTAAGTGGTCTAGAATTTGGATAAAAATGAAATGACAAACCTTGGAGGCTTTTGTTTTCGCGTTTCAAAGCTTCAAGAAGTTCATTTTGTTCCTCAAGAGTGTTCTTGTATCTGTACATCTGCACGGACAAAACATCAAGATATTTTATCAACGCATTTCCGAAAAAAAAACAAGATGGTGATATTTGAGCCATACCTCGGTAGAGTAGCTTCTGGCTTCTTTCTGGGCATTGTCCAGTTCTATTTGGAGATCATCAAGCCTGGACCTCCATTCATTGATTTCTTGATCGATTTTCTTTTGCTTCTTCTCAAGGGCAGAATTGTGGGTTTGAGCCTGTTAAAAGGAAAAGGCGAAAGACGTTAACTGTCAGTGTCCATTTATTGAATGGCAATTAAAGGATTCTAAGTACCTTCTCCAAATCAATAAGGGCATCCTCAAGCTCGCCATTAAGCCTGTTCTTTGCCTTCTCAGAACTTTGAGCCTTAACAAGAGCAGCATTCAAGGCTTCTTCAGTCTCTTGCAGTTTTGCAGCCATCCTTCGTCTTAGAAAAGAAATTGCAAAATTATTATGAGACCGATTTTCGTAAAAATGAGACAAACGACTAATTGTAAGCACGGATACTAAGATACGGATACTAAGATGCTGTTTCCTCCCTCTAAGAGACGCGCTTTAATTTTACCAAACTAAATAGACTCTTACTTAGAATCCTCTAATTCTTCAAGTTTAGCAATTCCTTCTTGTTCATATTTGTTCTTCCATGACTGCAGTTCTGCATTTGCTCGAGAAAGTTGTTTCTGGATATCAGCCTTGCCATCTTCGACTTCTTCAAAATTTTCTTGTAGAGTGTCATAGTCAGCCTCGAGGTTCTTCAGTCTGTTGATGGCTTCGGATTTACCCTGCAACGAAGAAAGGAAGTACCATCAAACAACTACTACATCGAGATGAGTACCCATTTTAAGAAGTGTCTTTCTAAAGGGTCAACTTTTGGAAAGGCCATATTATTCATCTTACCCGCATTTCATCTTCCAGCTGTTTCTTGAGTTCTTCCATCTGTTGTTCGAGATTTTTCTTAGCTTTCATCAACTGTGAGTTCTTGGACTCTTGTTCCTCGAGATGTCGGGTGACTTCTACGTTCTCCTGGGTGATGCGTCCTTTGATAATTTCGAGGTCGCTGCAAGTTTTCTTTAGTTCGTCATTCTGGGAGAAAAAAGTAATAACTTAGTTTGGATTCTGCCAGAAATAGCCCAGTCACAAAAAATGGTGTTAAATGACAAAACCAAGCACACTCAAAGGTAATTTTCCTTTCCTACCACATACCTGTGCTTTTGCTTCGTTGAGCTGATCGTTAAGGGCGCGGTTGTTCTTTTCAAGTTGCAACTAAAGAGAATAAAGAAATTCATGCAAAATCAATCTACATTTAATTAATCTTTAACAGGTTGCAACTCAAGACAAGTGTTTGAGGTCACTGATGATCGATCAATGGGCCTTAGCARGCAGTAAGAAAACCACAGGCCGCCCAGGCTATTATTCTGTGGCTTAAAAGACAGTGATATTTTGACAAATTTTACAAACTTCTTCTTTTAACTTTCAGAGAAATTTGTAAAATTTCAAAGCCTGGGCAGCCTGTGAGAAAACTTTTGGTTATTTGTTTTGATACCTTTTGTTTTTGGAAATTTTCGACGGCCACTGCAAGCTCGTCTCCCTCGTTCTGTAAGGATGCTTTTTCTTTTTCGAGTCTTTAGAGACAAATACAGAAATTCATATTATGTCCATAAAATATTACCATCAAATATTCATAGCAAATATACTTTGGCAAAATAGAATAACAACGACGGTAACAACTTAAAATAATATTTATATAAAGAAAAATTTTTTTTCAATAATGAGAGATAATGGCAAAAAGCGCCAAAAACTAGTCCTTCGTATGAGTTTTGATCCCAATTTTAGTTTTGGGTTAACACTCAAAACCTCTTTTTAACAGTTAGAAAATGATTTTAGCCTTGTATAACAGCCTTTCTCCAAGAAAATAGTTTTTGGCGCTCGCCGCTTGAATACGAGAAGAATTCTCTCAATTTAAAATTCAAATAAAAAATATTTCCATCCACGAATGATGCTCTGAAAACATCATCTCGAAATATCTAACTTAGGACAGAGTTAAATTCGACTAGCGGCACACCGCTAACCGCTGTCACGCAAAGGATTAATTTAAAGAACTTTTTTAATTCATTGGGATATTAGGTCGCAAATTAAAAATTAAAAAAACCAGCCAACATTATGGCAATTCTGGAAAATTTGGCATGGTATAGGGTTTCAAAGTATCGCGTGACAACCGAGGAAAAAGTGACCCAGGGTTAAATGAGCGCCAAAAACAAACGGCCCTAAAGAGCTGAGCGCAAATGGCGAAGAATGTACAAATTATATATATATATATGTCATGGGGAAAGAAGCTGAATAGGTATGGAAAAAGCTATCCAGGGGATTAAAACTACTTATGAGTATTAAGTATTTCGATCAACGTGAATTTTAACGTCTATTAATAGTGCGTTTGGGTTCACAGCTGTTAGCCTATCATGTAGGTAATTTAACCATTATCAAGACTCGGGAAATTAACTGGGAAAACTACTGGCATGTGATATTCGCTATCAACAATATTATCTCGTTGGCAAGGAGTTAACATTTTTTTTCAATCCCGCAAGATAGAATGATTTCTACTGGATTGCCGGATGGTATTGATGTTCTGGCACAAAGAATTAAGATCTTTAGTTATAACTTATTAATCCGATCTTATTAATCCGATCAGTCAGAGAGGACCTTTGGTTGGGAAGAGCATTGTAGTACGCTAAAATTTGGAGTTCATAAAATTTGTCCATATAATGAGGTCATTACATACTATATGAAAACAATGCGATGTGCGGTCTAGACAAGGTCAAGCGCGATTGACCAAGTTGGGAAAACTTACTTTGACTTGGATTTCTTGACACTATCAAGCTCGTCTTGTAGCTCTTGTAACGCTTGGTTCTGTTTTGAGCGCATGCTGTTGATGGTCTCTTCATTGGCGAGTGATTGCTCTTCCAAGTCCTTACGAAGCTTGACAATGTCTTGCTCTCGTTTTTTGTTGAGTTCCAACTGCAAAGAAATTATAAATTCATAGAGTTAACAAACAGCGAAGGGCGTTTTCGGAGAGGGATACATTCGGTGTAAGGATTAGAAAACCTTAATAGCACCGATGCCTCTCGTGTGATCTAAAATAATCTAAAATACAGATCAGCTATTCTAAAGAGGATAGTATTGATCCATTCAATGGAGATTAAAATTTTTAAAAAATTAAAAAGTTATCGTTCTTTTGTGTTTTGTGCAATTTATTAACACCCTAGATTCGTAATATTGCTGCATGACGTCCGTACATTAATTAGTTTGCTTAAATTATAAAACAGCTCTCATCGTTATGTACTCGTGAATCCGCCCTGAATCCCATACTACGCTTATTCCTACAGAACCAAATGCCGTACTAAACTTCACTCCTTCACCGATTCTTACCAGTTTTGTAGGCGACGTATAATCCATGCTGTAACTCATTTTCAAAAATTTTATTAAGCTACGAAAAGCTTGTCCCTCGCACTGTTTGACAGATAACACTACACGTAATGCTGCAAGGGATGCTGGTTTGTATTTACTCCCGATGCGCAACGCGTGAGATTTGGAAGATTCAAGATATCTGATAAAAAGGGAGTGCCAATGGATGCATTTGTTGCATTGCGTAGATAGATGTCATTCTGCGCTCAGATAAACGGAGGGTTTTTATACTATACCTGAGCTGCGGTGGCACCGCCTGCTTCATCTAGTCTGTCATTCAGGTCATCTAACTCTTGCTCGAGTTCTTGTCTTGCACGTTCAGACTGTAACATGCAAAGGCAAAAATGATTGAGAAAAAATACATGTTTACCAAAAAGAGTATTAATCCTGTTATCATTATTCAATGAGCAAAATATTCCTTTAAAGGATCAACAGAGACTATAGAAAACTGTGTGGAATTTGTGGCCGGGGTCAATCCAATGATCAGTCACACAACACATTCCATTCATATTGCAAACCGTTGTTTAGATTTCCATTACATGGTTCATGACCTGTCTACTGTTAAAACCAGTAGTTACATAGAATAGGAAAAATCATAGATAATATACTACGCATCAAGGTAACTGTGTGATGCCCTTTTTAAGAGAATATTTTCCTGTAAATGAAGTTTGTTTGTCGGATGTCAATCGGATAACCTCGGGACTTATCGGAAAAGAAATGTTCATCGCATAATTTGAGGCTCAAAGAATATATCTTTCGTCCGGAAAATTTTATGACGCCAAGAACAATTACTCTTACAAATAAAAGGATTGCCAATAAAATTCCACATGTTATCATTGATTATCGTAAATCCTCTAAGGAATGAAAACTATGTTAGTTTTTCGCTATGGAAGCAATGTTTGTTTTTAGATAAAGTTTTGTTATTCAGATATAAAGATATGGAATGACCTTTGCTTGTCAACTGTGGGACTCGGCCCCGTCCAAATAAACACTACTGCAAGGAAGATATGTTGAAGATAATAATAATGATCTATTTAAGAGCTAGGTTTCCGATAAGATACTGCATGCAGAAATAGGACTTCTATCCTTACCTTGCTGCGATTACTTCTTTCTTGTTCGAGTTCTTGCTCCAGTTCCTCGATACGAGCCTGTAAAACATGAGACAAAAATACATCATTCAGTTGCACAAGACAGAATTTAGGGGACCGTACCTTAATTGGATTGGAGTTAAAACTTATCTTATGAAAACTACCTAACTTAATATGATAAAAAAGCTTCAGAAATCGGCACATCCTTAGAAAGATTACTACATTCTACTAGTTATACAGCTGTTCTTGACTTGTACATAGATGGAAGCTAAACAATGTAAACTCGAAATAAACTAACAAAGATTCACCCAATCTTCGAAACTTAGAGAGTAAGAAGTTTTGAAAACTGGCAAAGCATTTTGACACGCTTTTGCTTTAAACACCGTAGTGTGTATCAAGTTGTACGTAACCAAACGTTATTAAGCACAGTTAAGTGCTAAAATTCCCTCATTATTTTATGTCGAGCATGACCTTTGTTTCCGAATACCAGCCTACATACTTCTAAATATGACGATGAATGGTCGTTTCGCCACATATTGAGGTTTCAAAAACTCTTTCGCAAGTCAAATTTGAAACCAAATTTCTATATAGCTGAAGTAATAATTACAACGACAGATCGCCCACGAAGTCATTGACACGGTAGAGCATGAATGATGACAAGGTGTGGCGTGATCAGACCATAAGAAGTACACTTGTTTGCTTAGCAATTAACAAATGATTGCTGTAAAATGAATTCATTGTCATAGTTCCTGTATTTCCAAATTCACAATATCCACTACATCCACCAGAGGTTTTCTTTCTTTTTTCTTTCCCTTTTTTTTATCCAAACAAACTTCACGCTACAAGTGCCATGAGTGACCAATGGACAAATAATATAACTATGCAGTAAAAGATTTAATAATATCGACTAAATTAAAGCAACCAATAAATTTTGGATAGAATGACCATTGGCTGTACGAAAACGTTTCCGCCTTATCTTATAATAAGATCATAAAAAATTAAATAACGAATCGCGAAAAATCGTTGTGTTGGACTAAATAAAGTGACTCCCACCCACCGAAGCAACACGCGATTAAGGTGTAATACCCTGTCAGTCTAACGAACAAATGAAACTGATTTCTGTTCGCTTAAACAAAAGAAACTATTTTATAGAGAGCGCCTGAAGAAAAAAGGTATGTTTTTTTTTCATTCGATAGGTCTATCTGTCCGTCTGCCTGTCATGCTCACCTCGAGTTGTTTGATTTTCTTTTTGAGGGATTCGATAAGACTAGACTGATCGTCGATTTTGACATTCAAAGACGAAATGTGCTGTTCGCGCCTAAAGGAATACAAGAAAAAAGTAAAAGAATGAGAGAAATGCAACTACATCCAACTGAAACAATCAAGACAACCCATGCATCTTTTTAAAAGGTGAGGATCAGAGAAAAGAAACAACACTATCATCCCGATACTTACTTTTTCAGCTCATCCTCTGTCTTTTGTTTTTCAGTCCTGACTTCTTCTAATGTGTCTTGGGTCATCTAAACAGTCAAAAAGGCACCCAAAGTTTTTACTATTTACTTCCTTTCAAATTAAGAGACTTGCAGTGTCGTCATTACGCGTTGCCCTCGCAAATCAAGGGCTGTCTGTGAGTTTTAAATTTTACCTTAAGGTCGCCTTCAACTTTTCGTTTTACTTTCTCGACGTCAGCTCGTAGTTTCTTTTCCCTATCCCATGAGGCTTGTGTCTTTCACAAATAGAAAAATACTATCATCAGAAAGAATGCAATAGTACCGCCAATAACTGCATGCGGCAACGATTGATGCACACAAGCTAGCCTAATAACATAGCAAAGAAGCTAGAGGAGTGTAGGCGCGACATGAAACAGGACTAGCATGGGGTTCTCTTAYTGTTTCTAATACCTCGTCAAGCTGTAGTTCAAGTTTGGCTTTAACTTTGTTAAGATGGTTGACTTTGTTTTGTTCTTCTTGTAAGGAGTCTTCCAGTTCCTGTTGGAAAATACCAGTAACAATCAGTACTAAAATCAATGAAACATTCGGGTCTGAGTTATTCCTTGAATCATTCTTACCTGACATTGCTCTTCCACGCCTTTCTTTGCTTTTGAAAGTTTGGCAATGGCTTCATCTTGCTGTTGTAATTCTTCGTTAAGCTGTTCGATATTTTTATCCTTTTGTTTGCTTTCTTCCTCAGCCTGAAACGAAACAATTTATCAAGGTATCACTAATCTCAGATGATCACGAAGGGGAGCAACAAGTGCAACAGAAACAGCAAGATAAGAGTCCAAGGAAAGAGGGAGTACATGGCATGAAGAAAAAATGGTATGATAAAATTTTTTTGTATAGCATATGCTTTCCACACTCCGATTCTTCTCTGGGTCGATTAAGCTTTAGTTTTAAACGTCATAAACGATGTTCGCGGGCATTGTTTGCGTGCAGCCTTTCTCTTACACACAAGTTTTTAATTCCGAAAAGTTAAAGAAAATCATATTGATTAAATGCCCATGAATTTTTTTCTCCTTTTCTTCGGTGATTTCAATTTTTTTTTTTTTTTTTTGATACCTTGGATTATGCTATAGCGTGCTTCTTTTCCTCGCTGACTATATTTGCTCAGCATTTAGCAAGAAAAAAACGAATTAGGTGACCCCCTTTTTATTTTATTTTCTGAACACGATGTCAAATTTAAACAAATCCTGATTGCAACAAATAAGTTGCATCTAAACGCAGCAATGAGAAGTTAGGTGAGAGGTAACAACAAATACGCACCTTTTTGAGAGCGGAGTCGAGTTCTTCGATGTCTTGTTTCATTTCTTTGATTTCAGACTCCAGTTTCTGTTTTGCTGCTGATAATTCCGAGCTAGCCTCCTCTTCGTCTTCGAGTTGTTCCAGCATTTCTTTCAACTGAGCTTCTAAGTCGTTCTTCTTGTTTTCCAGAGCAGAATTGCGCTCTTCGGCATCAGCGGCGGAATCTTGTTCTCTCTGAAAATCTTGGAAGAGTAGATTCTTCTCTTCAACAAGTTTGGTGTATTTCTCTTCAAGTTCTTTTCTCAGTGCTTCCTCCTTGGCCAGCTTTTCTTCAGTTTCTTTCATCTGTTCAATCTTCTGTCTCATTTCTTCATCAGCACGTGCGACTTGCAATAGAGGCTTTACTTTGGTATAAAGTTTCCACCAGTTCCAGTTTCTCAGGTACAGATACTTTCGGACGTTCCTCTGTATAACTGAGATTCCAATCCTAAAAAGTTGTGTAAAACTTTGGGTTACGAACACAGGGGCAGATTCAGGATTTTTAGAAGGGGGGTTAATATTATAAAGGTTTTACCATGAATTCGAGGAAAAGTGGGGCAACTGTTACCAAATTTATACTTAGAAATTTGTGCAAAAACCTGGATCCGCCCCTGGAACAAAAGAGGTTCACTTGCTTGTGGACAGATTGAAAATTTCATGATAGCAATGCACTGCATATTTTTGAACGACATACCTCTGGTCACACATCTTGCGGTACTCTTTACGCATCAGGAAACCCTTACAATAAGCCTGGAACATGGAAATAATTTTGGCAAGCCTTTCGTCACGCAAGTCCTCAAGCTGACCTAGAACACCAGCACGGAAGAACACCTTGGTTGCACCAATCCTGTACTCATTCTCTTCCAATTGCAAGGCACCTAACAACTTCTCGCAAGCTTTCTTTCCATCCATAAACTGTCCAGACACGGCGGTAGGAGCAAGAATCTGGTATCTACAAGAAAATATAAGCAGCTCAGTAAGAGGGAACCCAAAAGATTACTAATTATYATACGCTCTTGTTCTAATCTGATTCCGTGGCTGAGTAAGTTATCGACTACGCAGAGTACCAAAATACTTACCTCTGCTTGAACTCCTGGAAAGGAATTCTGTTGGGGAATCCTTTACGGCAAATACGGATGCCCTCGAGTACACCATTACATCTGAGCTGATGAAGGACTAGATTAGTGTCAATGATACCAGCCTTCTTTACTTCGTTGGGGATGATACAGCGCACAAAGTGAGGCGAGGTCGAATAGAGGGTGTCCATCAACTTGGTCAGTTGTTCCTGTTATAGAAAAAATAATAAATACTAAGACAACACATCATAACATTGATATTCCCTTAGTAAGAAAATCTTACCTTGTGTTTGGAACTGACAGTCTGGAAAGATCCACCTTTTCCTCTGTGACCTAAAATAATTTCAAAGACCAATAAAGATGAGCAAGTTTTGAGAAACTCCGAGAGTGCATATCGTTGATAGTGGAACAACTCGTCGCTGCAAGCACAAAACGTTAACTAACCTTCAGTGGCATATTCCTTCCACAAATGTGCAATAAATGGATCGCCGGACTTGGCGAAGATAGAAGCAACAGCCTCATTAATGGGGTCCTTGTTCTTATCAAGCCAGTTGTCAACGTTGTAGCCAACAGTGCCAGCGTAATGGTGGACTTCGAAGTGATAGTTAAGAGTTTTCTTTCCACTGATCTTTGGTTTTCCAAACTTTACAGATTTGCCGTCATGGGTAGAGTTCAGCTTGGCCAAAAATGTCTGGTCAGAGGCTTTAGGCACAATGCATTCTTCCTCAAGAATGGCAAAAATACCAGTGCCCTAAGGGTAATATATTGTCGAAGTTTAGAGGTCTTGCACTGTAATAGTGAGTAGTGAATGTGTTATTATTCATTTACCTTAGCGAAGATGAGATCAATCGTTGGGAGCAAGTCAAGACCAAAATCAATAAACTCCCAATGAATTCCTTCTCTTTTGTATTCCTCCTGTTCAAGGACGAACATGTGATGGTTAAAGAACTGCTGCAGCTTCTCATTGGTGACGTTGATGCAAAGCTGTTCAAAGGAATTGAACTTGAAGATCTCAAATCCTGCAATATCGAGTACACCAATGAAGAAAGCACGTCTGTCTCTGGTCATTAGGGTCTGGTTTGCCTTTTCCACAAGCCACAAGAACATGCGCTCGTACAAACTCTTACTCAAAGCACTAATAGAGTAGGCAACCTGGAAAAGAAATATTTGTTTCATTTTCAAAATATTCAATACACCTTTAGTATGTACATTATTAGCATGCAACTGCATTTCTTTAAATCCTCTTTACCTGTTGAATGTTACGTCCTTGGTTCACATATTCACGACCAACTTTGATTCTAGGTTTGATGATGTTCTTAATAAAGTCAGCTCCGGGAAGTTTCATCAAGAATGACACCTTATCAAGATCTGTAAGTGTGTAGAAATTTTTATCATGAATTTGAAAATACAAATTCAAAGACGCTTTGGAGCTACCCCTCACCACTTACCTTTGGGGTCAGAAACTTCTGCTTGCTCCTCTCGTGGCCTTTGCTTGAACTTGGCGTTTCCCCAGTGAAGACAAGCAGCACAAATCTTATACATACTATGCTTTTCTTCTATTGTGAATCCTAGAGTGTCAGCCGCAAGCTTTAAGAAGAAATCAGACGCGGTCAATAATACACATATATCATTGGGTGTTTAGTTGGGTAACCATGGTGGATGACATTGGGTAACCATATTGGGTGACCATGCTTTAGTGGCTTTTTCGGTCATACCTCTAATAATGATAATAAGATAAGATTGAAAATGAAGGGGAATATGAGGGAATATGAAGGAAATAGATTGCTTGTTTGTTTTTATTAAATCCCAAGGAGGGGAAACAACAAAAGACAGGAGGCCATGTTGGTTCATATAACAAAATAGCTCATTCTTTTGTTCAATTCAACACAGATGGCAGCTATGACGTCAGGTGCAAACAAAGAATACCTCAGTAGTATGGAACTCATCTACGTCATCAATTCCCTCAGCTATTTCACTGCCCCTCTCGAGGAAGGCATAGTCATCCTTTCTACCGCTTTCAATGAGAAGTTCATCTGTTAATGAAGTAGAGTTGAAATAATAGATGAATAACAATAGCTATGTAGTCATAGTATAATATCAAAGAACACGGCCATAATGCACGGCATAGCGTGATTTCATTACAATCCACGTTGAGCATGGGTGATCTAGTGAGAAATCACACTCTCCTCATTTTTCAAACCCTCTGCTCTTTATAATTTTGTAATCACAGAAAAGGCCAGAGCAAGCTTTAGTTTGTGTTTTGCTTTGTGAATTGTCGGCACATTTTTTGGAGTTGGCGTTGTCAAATAAGCGCATGGACCCTCGATTATAAAAAAAGTTATTGTACTCTAATAAAGTGGTCATTTTTAGCAGTGACCACGTCCCATACGTAGCTATGATGTCATCAAAGCATGCGCGCATTGCCATATGGGTAGATGAAACAAAAATGCTGTCTAAAAAAAGATTTTTTCTTTCATTTTGCCTTCAAAAATCACTCTGGTTTTCTGTTTTTCTCTTCAGGAAAGGCATTCTAAATGTTACCTTTAAGTTCTTTGGGTGCTCCTTTGAGAATCTGGTAAAAGATGTGATAGTTTCTCTCTCCTTCTTGTTGGTAGACGACACGGGACTTCTCAAGCAAGTCTGCCAGGCAGAACAAAAAACAAGAATTAATAAGCTTTATTAATTTGTTTAACTAACTTTAAAATGCAAGAAAACTGTTCTATAACTTACAGGATTCAATATCAGCTCCGGCCAGTTTTCCTTGGGGTCCAAAATGGCAGCGAATGAACTTTCCCTAGTAAAGGAATGGGAAAAAAAGTTAAAAATCCAGTACTCCAAAAAGTGATTGAGGCTGAGTTTTTTATTCTATTTCTCGTAATTTCAAAAATTACTAAAGCCTATTTAGGTACTAGCAAGCTTATCAATCCATGTAAACATAATTGGCTTCCTCTAAATTACTTACAAATCTCGAGGAATTGTTGTTCCTGATAGTCTTTGCATTACCATAAGCTTCAAGGATAGGGTTAGTTTGAATAACTTGATCTTCAAGGGTACCTCCCTATAACACGTACAAAACATCCCATTTTAGTCTTTTCATATTCAAAGAATCCCTTTTATTTTAGTAATAATTGAAAACCATATATGATTTTAGTAGGTGGTACTAGCTGGTTCAAATAAGGGGACCTTTTGGGCTAATTCACAATATCTGGGGGGAGGGCAAATATATATATTTTTTCTATCATGCGATGACCATTTGATGCAATTTTCAAAAAAAATAATGAYAATGTTTTTGCCCCCAAGTAGAAAATTTAGCAATGTGTTGTGGTGAACTGGGGCTGTGCGGTATGGGTGTTATGTGTGTAACTGTGTGGTTGTTTGGTAGTGGGGAGGGATTAATTTGTAATAGCAAGTGCTTAAAGATATAATTAGATGAATGAGGAAGCTTACAGTCTTCTCTTTGTGTTCTTTGTCAGCCTTGGACAGCCCTCCTGATACATGGGCAAGATACTGGATTACTTTCTTGGTGTTTTCAGTCTTTCCTGCTCCAGATTCACCACTGCCAGTCAAAAAAGGTACAAAATACAATAAGTACAAAATAATCACAGCCATTATAAATCATTAACTATATGAATTGATTTATTTTGTATCCAAGTATTGAGGAAACAACAAGTAAAATTTGAAGTGAATATCTCCATTCATTAATGTAAATATCTAATTCATAATATAACCAATTTATATGTGTAAGAAGTGAACACTATTGAGAATATATCCTAATATTAAATTTAGGAATTTATGTCAATTTTTGTATTGGGTAGAAAACCCCTTGGGCAGAAAAAAAAACTTGAAAAATAAAAGAGAACAACAAACACAAATCACATATGAATCAAACCCAGAATTAGTGAAAGGCGAGCGTTCTTACGGCTATGTCACCATGCTTAACATTAATTATAATCATGCCTCATTGATGCTTTTGTTTCCCAATGTGTCAATTCAGTATGCCTCATAATGTCTACTGTAATATAAGTTCCATTGTGATGTTTATATCCACACATGGGAAATTCATTTGGTCACATAAAAGCTAAAGTTTATAGTAACACATACATTGGAAAGAATTGTACAATTTACAATTTGCACCAGAAACAACCACTTTACCAATCTACATCATAATAGAATYGTGGCATAACAAAAGATATGTTAAATTCAAATAGAGAGTTAGTCAAAGTACTTATTTGCAAGGATTATTCTTGCTTAAATATAAACAGAACTTAGTAATTAACCCTCACATCTTAAGCCCAGATAATAGATGATTTATGGTATATACTGCCAAATAAAGTTAGTATTGAAAACACAAGCATAATATGGAGACTAGTTGCAAAAGGAGCAAAATTCAAAAAATGCATAGCTGTGTAGATCTATAAATATAATTTACATTGACATAACTAGACATATTAGACAGCTACTTATAGTCAGAGTAATTTATTTTACAACAATGCTCTTAATGTCATAATGTCATGCAAATGCATTCCAAAAGTATTGTTTTCAAAGACGAATTGTCAATAATAGGAATCTTAAAAATCTTTTGAGCTGAATAAAGAAAATGCAGTTATATTGTTATTGCAGGAAATCCATTACTCATAAACAATACATCTTCAAATAATAGGAAACAAGAGCTAATAATGTTAATCCATTTTTCATTTCAAATTGTGTGGTTTTTTTTCTTATTATAAATTATCATATGGAATTTATATTGAATATGGTATGTTCAGCACTACTCACGTGATCAACATGGACTGGTTCTCACGATCTTGCAACATGTTTTGGTAAGCATTGTCACAGATAGAGAAGATATGTGGAGGCATTTCATTTCTCCTTTTTCCTCTGTAGGCAAACACAACGGCATCAGTGTAGATTGGAAGGCGGCGGTAGGGATTGATAGCCACACAGAAAAGTCCAGAGTAAGTCTGAAAATAATTGAGAGTGATAAGACAATAAGTATATACCCCATTAATATAGTTTTCAGCTAGGTTATCAATAAAAGCATTTCTAGAGAACGTTTTTCAAAATGATTATTACTGTATATTTTATTTTATCAGTTTTAAGAAACTAAAAATTCATGAGTAAATTACACCATGGAAGAAATGTTTTTTAAAACACATTATAAGACAAATAAATAAGAAAGTACAATCCATGCAAACAAATGAATGAGAAAAAAATCATCAGAAAACTAATTTTTATAAACAACATAAAAAGTCTAGAAAGAGACACATGAATTTCTCATATTTTTTTACAAAAAATTAATGTGTGTTGAAATTTAATTTCTGGATTCAATGCTAGTACCTACTTAAATAACTAAAAATCAAAAACTTAAGTTTTTTAAAAATGGGAAAGTAAGTATCAAAATTTTTGAGTTCAATGTCAACTTTTTGTTAGACACTCAAAGGTATTTTCATTCGTCCAATGAGTGTTTGTTAACATTATGCATTCTGTCACACTCATCTAAGTCCTGTTCTTCATAGGATAGGTCTATGGTTAGCTGCACAGAACTAATTCTTATAAACAACATAAAAAACCTAGAAAGAGACACATGAATTTCTCATATTTTTTACAAAAAATTAATGTGTGTTGAAATATAAATTTTGGATTTAATGCTACCTACTTAAATAACTAAAAATCAAAAACTTAATTTTTWWAAAAAAAAGGAAAGTAAATATAAAAATTTCTGWATTCAATGTCAACTTTTTGTTGAACTGTTAATACTTTATTAGACACTCAAAGGTATTTTCATTAATCCAATGAGTGTTTATTAACATTATACATTCTGTCACACTCAACTAAGTCCTGTTCTTCATAGTATAGGTCTATGGTTAGCTGCACAGAAACAAAGCACTAACCATTATTGGGTTTTAATTTCTTAAAAATGTAACATAATTCAATTGTTACAGAAAAATTTATATTTTTATTAATCAGATTGATTTTTGGTCACACACTTTGACCTGTCCTAAAAACAACGAAACAAAGGGCAATTAAAGACACTTAGTCCAATCCTTTGTAAAAAATATAATCTTCCAAAGCAGCTGCTTTCAAAAAGCTACATTAAAAAAGCAAACATTCATCTTTATAAAAGCAATACAAATTCCTTTTTTGATTTTGTACAATCTGGAGAAATCAATAACAACAGTTTGGGCAAATGAAAAATTTTATTGCATATTAAATAGTATTGGAGTCTGGAATGTGGGATTTTAGGGCTCAATCTGGCCTGTTTTGAAAATATATAAGACAGAAAAACAACCATCCATAAAAAKTTGCGTACACTCAAGGCAAATGATGGAAGTTCAAACACAAAGTCCATTCAACAGTGTTTTATAAGGATGTACGTAAAAACATAAGTGACCAAACCCGATGGAAAACCTACGCCTTTGATTGAGATGAGTACATTAACCATATATGGTGAAAATATTTCTAGTACCGATCTGGCCATGGGATGACTGGGGAGGTTGAGTGGGTCAATTTTTGAATTCAAATATTTAAAAGCCACGAGTTTTCTGTAAAAATGAGTTCATTCATTGAAAAATTTGTTTTTAAGCCCATAAACAAGGACAAAAGTAATGTTTTACGTTATTTTAGGTCTAAATGCGGATTAATAGCAATTTTTATCAACTGCAAGCACAGCTCAATAAAACAGCTGTCGATTGAGCAGGGGGATAAAATCATAGGGATGTTCACGAAAACTCGCACAAATAAGCACAAAACATCTATATTTTGACCCCACCTAACGAATAAAGTTGTGAATATATTGAATGTCAAGAAACTCGAACAAACTTCTTCCTTATGTTTGAATGCACTTCGTAATATAAACTCAGGCAACATAACTTTAACCACCTAATGTCATTATCACCCCAGCCACTCGCCCGGAATCACACCGATCAGTGGGCATGTTTTAAGCGAGATATAGAAACCCTAATCCCAAACGGCTATCGTACTGCAGATATATCTTGGCAGATAAGCCAAATCTAAAACCATATCTGCATAATGGGACCGGCTTGCTGAGCTATGCGGCTGCATTGTTTCACTTGAACTGAACAAAAGCCCCGACAGGCGGTTTGTTAATATATTAACCAATGTCATCAATTTCACACTTTTGAGGAAATTAGCAAAGTCAGAAATTGACAGAGATGATGCTGTCCTAAAAGATTATTGCAGGAAAATCGAAGATTTGGGTCTGTTATGATGTCTAACGACATCGTTCCAATGCAATGATCACCAATTAATAAGGCCATTTAAGCGTAAAAATAGCGAATTTAAATCCCATTACGGCGTCGTAGAACTGCCCAGTGTACCGAAACGCCTAAAGTAGATTAACTATTTTATTGACACTAGAAGGGCATTCCGTAAACTAAACTTTCTAGTATGGAAAAAAAACAAGAGCAGGAATATTGGTGACTAGCAAAGGGCTATGAGTTTAGAAAATTAGATGTCTAATGATGATGTCTGAAACACAAACACTAAACAGAATCCTTTAAAGTGAAGGCATGCATGAATACAATTACATATACGAGGTAATCTGTACAAACATTCATAAGGTCCCACGGTCTGTTTTGTTATGGAACTACAAAGACTTCGATCTGCTGCAAAACACTAGCGAATTTTATTGCACTTTGATCTAGATTCATCGTAGCTTGGGATTTCCAAATAATTCAAGCGATGCTATTTTACTTACGTAAATAAGACCGGCGTAGTATCTCTGCTTCAAGTTATGAATAACGCTAGCTTCGTTTAGGTATGTCAAGTTCGCCATGTCCTCGGTCTTCTCGAATTTCGGCGGGTTCATCTGTTCGGTATCATCCTTTTTGACTTGCATTTCCTAAGTTAGAAATACAGAAAAATTTGTGATTTTCAAGATATGGATGGTTTACCAACTGGTAAAAGAGCAGCCAATATCGGGAAAGCATCTGCGGGATCGGACCTCCAGATACCGGCACAATACTACACTAGTTACTATAACTAGAGATCTAGTGGAGCCACAGCTGTTGGTATAAAAGTCGAACTGCGATCAAAGAAAAAGAATATATTTGCTGCATCTACCTTTCCATCGTTGGTTTCAACCATCAGCGTATCTCCCTTGGTACCTTTGATTTCAGCAGCCTTGTAACCCTCCTTCTCATCAGTCACCCAAACCCACTTCTTGGTTTCGAACTCCTTGTTAGCAGACATCATAGCCTTTTTATCAATTCGTAGCATTGCTACGGGATCGTTAGGATCGTGGTCCATGATGATTATAATTACACTAGAAGCACTAAGACTTGAGGGAAAAAAACCGAAATGTACACCGAGTTAGGCACAGACTAGTCAGCCGCAGTGTGTCTTGCAGAAGTGCTTGCCACTCTGTGCTAAGTAAATCACTTCTGCTACTGCTCTATAAATTCTCACTAGCCACTCCCATTGAGCCCTGACATGACAGACGCGGCGATAAAGTATGTTATGGTAACGTAAAGTCATCGCTGATTGGTCAAGAGGATCACTTAGGCCTTTGTTCTTTCAATCCATGGGTTTGTTTTGTCACGGTACATCAACTAGTGTTGTTCACCTTTTCATAATGAAATACCAAACAGTCACTCTTATACCACACCTTGTGGCTAGGCGACCAATCAAGCGTCCAAGTACTGATGAGATTTAGATCTTTCATGTCACGCGTGTGTAAGCCACTTTCTCGCGAGTTTACTTGAGGGGACTATCCCTCTTTATCCCCAAAAAACACATCCCATATACGACTATCAAATTTATTATAGCTTTGCGGAATGTTTTAAAGGATGAAATACATACATCAGTTATTTTTTAAATAACGTCCGTCAATTATCATAATTCTTAGTATAATTTCTTGCAATCAAACTATTGAAGGAAATTAGAAGACAATACCCGACCTTCATGTGTTTGGTCCCCGGTTTGGTCGCATATTTCTGCTCAAATTCTCATGTGTTTCTTATTGCTTAAACTTTCGGGGAAAGCAAGGGATGCCTTCAAAAGTCAATGTTTGCTAACTTGTCAATGATCCGTTTTTAGTTGGCCTGTTTGGCACATTTTCCATCTGAAGACAGTTATTAGTAACAGAAATCAAAAGAAAGACTTGTGCAATACGCTGATCAATGAACCATGAAGTCAAAATACAATTTAGTCATACCGACAGCTTCGTGATGACGCCGTGTTAGGGGTCAACTTAGACACCGGAAAAGAGAGCAAAACAAGYCTACACTGTGTCTTATATCTCACGTTTCGTTAACACTAGAAACTGTGCTACCAAAGAAGCAATTTCAGCATAGCTTATTTGGTTTATGCAGTGCTTAACAATTACCAAAATTTCTGAGTTTTATCGATTCACAGGGACAGTTTTCTAGCGTGTCACGCAACGTACATAGTCACAGTTCATCACACGCAAAAGAATTAGCAATTTCCTCGAACCAATATTGCCTGTTCCAAAAGATTGGTCTATAGTGGGAAGTTCCATAGACTTTGAGCATTAATAATCTGAAGATGTTTCTAAATGTAAGTAATTATGAGATATTTGGCATCGGCCCAATTTAAGCTGCATAGCAAAGTCAGCATTTGAAGTACATGTTTTTAAACTTGACACCATCTTACCAAACTCTTAGTGTTGGCACACGGACACCTGTAAGTAAGATATATGTTAAGGCAACAGGAAAATTAGTGCAGGTACACTCTTACTCTCAGTTGACCTTTTCCTAATATCATGCTGTTTCATGAGGTTTGTTTGAGATCTGATTGTGTAAATACAAAGCGAAAATATTTGTTTTAAACGGGAAAATTAAAATATTCTCACATAGTTTCTTGGAGCAAAATTTGTCATAGCACTTTGACCATAAATGGAGTGAGCTAAAAAAAGGGAGAAAAGTTCTGACTTTATCAGTCATACATCTTTTTTTCTAAAGAAAAACCTGTTCACACGATTTATGTAAAATTAAAATGATGAGCACTTGCGACAAATATAGACATTCAACGACACTATCAGTTCTATTAACCTGTGATTAGTTTTAATGGATTACTGAAAGTGTTGCACTTGTAGAAAAACGAAAGCCGCTCCTAAAGGTTTCTTCTGCCTAGGAAGCTAGCAGATATTCCTGTTAGTATTTAATTCATTTTCCAATAGGATGAACTCAACATCGAAGATCTCAAGGAGGAACTATTAGCCAATAAAACTTCGTATATTCATATCCTCACCGAAAAAAAATACTCTAGCTTTTTTTTTTTCTTTTTTTTTTTCACTCCAAAAAGATAACAAACTCATCAGTGCTAGGCCATGGTAATTACATCACCTATAATTACTGAAGATCGATAATCCAGTACTCCGGATTAAAAAACAGCAAGGAGTAACATTAGGGCAATGAGTTGCGGTTCGGTCGGTATTCAGCTCTGTAGCAGTTCACGGAATAAGTCAACGGAACAAGATCGACGAGAAAGTCATGTAATCCTAAACTGCGAGTTTATATGAAGTTATACGTTGCCGCAGTTTGAGACCACATGTAAATGCCCTTTGCACCCAACTGTAAGGCGACAGCAAACTGGCTAAGTAAGGAAAATATAGTTTTTTGGTTTATATTAGCCGCTGGTTAGCTTTTGGGCGTGGCATTAAAATTTAAGGCAGGTGCAATTTCCACTAAGATAATGGACAGAGTAAGGTTTTTTTCGAGCACAGTTACTGGATTTAGTTCCAGGGAGAAATGGTCAGTAAACGACCCATGCATGATGACCTATCAGTCTGTAATGTGCATCAAGGTCTAGAAGGGAATATATATGGTCACGATTGTGCGAAGCTCCAATTCAGCTACATTGAATAGTCGGTGCATTCCTATGGATGCGAAGTACTTGCTTAATATCTTTAGTGTGTCGGATTTAACGCTAACACAAGATGAAATACTGTACGGAATACTTAACAAGCCGAATCCAAGCATGAGCCTTGAATGGTTTACCGCAGTTTAACCTCATCATTACAGTTCCTAAGAACTCTATATGTGAGATTTATTAGAAACAGTGCTCGAGTTTGACATACAAGGTCATCAACTTAAGATCTATTAGTGCAAGAGTGTTGAAAAACCTTTAAAAGGGACCACGCATAGCGGAGATACGATCCGCCCGATATAAAAGTTTGTAATTGATGCCGGTGTGTGACATCAGTAAAGTTAGATTTTGAAAAACATTATTGATTTACATTACGGACAAGATATTTAAAGTAGCGGTAGCTCATTCTGAAAATGCCTTTTTCTAAAATTATTTGATCAAGATATGAAGATTACGACACGCGGAACAAAAACATGTTTTGTGTGAAAAACTGAGATTTCGTGTGAATAAAACACGCACTTGTTTATCTGCGGACTAGGCGGGGTGGGAAACAGTTTTTTTCGGGTGTAGAGAACAAAACGGTGAATGGCCGGCTAGTGATCGGTGAGTGATATTCTGAGATATAAACGATTGATGACATATTGATTATTTCCATGCGCTAACGTGACCTAATTCTTAACGCGTTTTCAGTGGCCGTACCATTATTGAGGCCTTAGCTTTTCCTTCTTTGATGTATATTTTTTAAGTTCAGCTGCGTGTAAGATATTTATGTAACCGACAGGCTATGTACTGATAAAAGGATTCGCAGTGTATTACATGATTAAAACTGTGGAGGTTCAATTAAAACATTACAGACATTGCTTTGACTCGTACATTTATTGTCATCGGTAAAACTACAAATAAATCAATTTTATGCTAAAAGTTACAAATCAAATTCACAAAAAAGATAGATTATTTAAAACTCATTTGTATGAAGATTTACTTACGTTCGTGCCTGCATGTGATAATAATAACAACAAATGCAACAAAACAACTCCATGTTTACAATCCTTTTCAGTAGTGAACCTCGTGGGTTGCCACGTGACCACACAGGGTTACCGGAAATCTGTCCCGAATATAAACTATTTTACAATAATGGCGGGTTAAAGAGGGAAAAAATTTCAAACAACCCCGATGAATGATATTTTGTAAAAGGCAGTGGTGCCAATGTGGTTTCTCGGTGTATGGTGTATTTTTCGGGATAAAATCCTAAATCTGCACTATAGCATGCCGGCTTAGGGGCTCAAGAGCATCTCATCTCTTGTGGGCAGCTACGCGTACGCAGTTTAATCCAAAAACGCGACGATAAGATAGCTTTGATGAGAAAGGTATTGACTCTCAGCCCACAAATGTTCTTTCCAAATGCGATAACACATTAGTAGCCAACCTCCAAACCTAAAGTACTACCGGCTCAAGAAAGCCTTGTTTCAAATAGGACTTTGTTGGCCCACTTGTTATAATACTTGTGAAGTAGGCCTAGAGAAGATTAACAGATTAATAGCAGTAAATTGACATATATCATGACTGATTTGTACTTCAGGAAAGCAAGAATACTTTACGAACCTCACGTACCAAGACCCTATCAGACAACAACAGAAAAAAGCCTGACAATTGAATTTACGCAGAGGTCAATGACGTCAGTAAATAATGAATATGACGTCAACGCATCACTTTTCTCTGCGCAGGTCCTATAACATGATGACTATATATGGGAAGATCAAAATTTATGACTCAGGCCGGATTGACGAAAGAATGTTGCAGTCAGTAAAGATCAATGAATGATAATTTATAACAATTGACGTCGGGGAATTTATTATTTATGATGACGTTAATGAATATATACATTTTTCAGTTATACGCGGCGACATGCGGTGTCTTGTTCTTGTGTCTAAACAGCTCAACCAAACAGTAAACAGTAAAACAAAAACCTGTCAAAATCAAGAAAACAAACCTGTCCTTTTGCAGGGTTTTTTAATGAGCCTTCCTAATCTGGGCAGTCGTAGCGGCTATCGATGATAGTATTACTAATCCACATCGAACCTGACGTTATGAAATCCTGATTTCTATTTCTCGGCATTTAGTTAAGTAGTTGAGAGTGTCAATAAAGCACTGGCATTATTTAGCACTGCTTGTTGAAAGGCTTAGACTAATCCCATGGAATGTACATACTGATCATTACATATCCGTACTAGTGCATTTCCAGACAACTATAGACCGACTGCAACCATCAGAACTCCAAGGCAGAGACTGATTTAAAGTGCCTTTGCCGCCATTCATCACGAACGTGGGCGTCATGCAAGATTTTTTTATATGTATGTAAATGACTTAAATTTTTTTTACTCTACGAAGATGGGACTTTTTCCGATTTTAAACATCTTGGGAGTTTCTTTAGCTGAGTCACACCCATATTGACATATCTTATTGTGATCTCAAATGCGCCTGCATTCATATTACCAATTACTCCACCAATCCTTGGCTTTTACCTACGTCATCGAAAATTTTCCCAAGAATCATATACAACAAAACATCTACAGACCGATAGAGCAACGTTGATGACGTCACGGCACATCAACAAACGATCGTGCGCGTGCGCTCGTTATATTCACCTCTAGGTAAATATAACAACATAAGACGTAAGTTGTGAGCAATGAGCACGCAGGATATATTATATTCACTTGTTTAAAAATACTAATTCACATTGTTTTCGGATGATATGTTTAATTTATTTACTTTTATCCCTAATGGCCTTTACCCATTTAATACCCAAACGAATCTTGTTCAACTCACTGGCCTAAAATAGGCCTCTTGTTCTTTTGCCACGTAACGCTCACAATGAGAAACCYGCGCGCCATCCTACGTCATCCTAAAATCCAGCCTCACAATCCCATGCACCATGGACAAGGAACTCTGTAGTCATCAGACTGCTTTTAAACACAAGGATGAGTGCTTTTCCGACTTTTCCACATATTAAAAATATACTCTCGAATTTTTTTCTCTTAGTAAGCTGCATAAAACACCAAAGCAACATAGTCGCTCTGTAGTGCAGAAGAGATAAATAATGTCTATCCATTTCAGTAAGACTCACTTGAACAGCAGACTGGATGTCAGTGTCACAACAGGTTCGTTTGACCCTTTCCAAAAACGGGATTGGAACCAGCCGACCCCGACCTGCGAGGCATGAATGTTGTCTATTTAGTTTTGAGATTTTGGACCCAAACAGGAAAAAAAAATAGTCTAAATAACAGCTAGAGAGCTGGCAAATTCTGTCAGGTTCTATCTAGTTTTCTTTATCGTTTCCTAATTTTTTTGGCCAAAAGCCTACGATATATTTTGGTAGCATGCAAAGTAGTAAAACAAGCCGATCATGAACTAGCGAGGAAATTTAAAACGTGAAATCATTAGTAAACAAATAAAAAATTCAAACGACTGAATATGCCCACGTTGAATGTGGTCGTCAATGGCAAAATGTCGCGGAACGCGTGATTTCAGGAAAAAATAGCGCGTGATTTGGGATCCGGACCCCCCAGTTCCAGACCCTGTATAGAGTTACATAGCGTCGCAATATAATGGGACTGAGGAAATACAAAAACAAATATCGATATCTCTGCAGCCGGATCTTATATATGCTAGATAGTCTCCCACGTTGGAGGCCTTGGTATGCGCGGTGTGCTGACATTATATTACGAATCCTTTTCACTTCTTCTTTTTTTTTCCAGAGTCATTTTTTGTTCAATTGCTTGTTTGTTTTTTATCGTGGCACTATCGGTACTACCGGTAGAATTCGAACTACTTCGTATATATTTCATTTTCCAAAATCAAAACCATTAATAAGGACGTCCTGGAGTCCCCAAAACAACAGAAGTGGACAAGATGATCATGATGACAAATAACCAAAAGAAGAGTCTGTCAAGTACCATAGCCAGGTATCTCCATTCGTTTCTATTCTTTTCGACCAGTCTTCGATGTCTCACGTCCTCTGCTAAAACCATAATTCCCTGCGTCGTGTTGGCATTTATACTCGCAATAGTTGAATTTATCCCCCTATTCTCGCACCTACATGCATATGATGTATCTCTTTGTTCTGTAAACTCTGTCTCTTGCTCACAAGCATCGAGGCCATTACTGATTAGACGTCTCGAGCCATCACCGTTCCGACGCTCTATGTCCTTCCTCAGCACCGAAAGTCTCTTGAACTGTTTCTTGGACGAAACATCGTAGTTGTCTTCAGATATTGGCTTCTTAACTCCCAAGATTCTACCCAGCCAGCCTAGGATGTAATATTGCACCCACTGAGGAACTGGTACCAAAGCTATCCCAGAATTCATATGGTGTATTTGTAGAACGTAACATGTAGCAATGAGAGATAGAGCTACTTCAACCATCACGGTGATGTAGAAGATACCCAAGACAGGAACGTTCTCCGAATTCCTCGGTAAGTTTTGAGCAGCAAGTTGCAGAAATACAGCCATGGCAAGAAGAACTGTAATACTTAGTGTGATTCTCTCTCCTGACTCCGGAGGCAGGAAAAAACCCAGGAGAACCATACCCGTGATGATCATACATGGTACTATCAAATTGAACATGTAGAACAGTGGCTTGCGTTTAAATTTGAATTCCACAGTAACATCCGAAAATGGGTGTGGACAACAAGCGTAAGATTCGACATTCCTTGTTTTACTTGCTGCTATGAGATCCCATTCAGCACTCTTCACATATTGTTTTGAATGCAAAGGAGCGTTATCAACAAAGATATCCAAGTCAACYGTCTCAAACGTCCAAGATCCGAACTTCATGAAGCAGGTTTGTTGGTCAAAGGGGAAAAACGTCACGTCTATTTGGCAGGTGCTTCGGAACGAGGCTGGACTGTACCAGGCGTTCACACCATCATACTGCAGTATCACGCGTGTTTTGTATTTCTCGAGTCCACCGCTGAACTCACTGTCTGCACTGTCAAAAAATTAAAAAATAAAATAAATTTAGACCTTGACTAACAGCGGAGCTCCCATTGTTTTAGACACAATTAAAATAAAACTTAAAAGCAAAAATATATAAGATCGATCGGGGAAAAATTATTTAACTATTTTTATTATTCCAGATAAAGATAATGTCCCGGTAATGAAGACCAGTAAAACAATCCAGTAAAAATGCACTACATCCTTTTTTTCGCGATCCTTTGTTTTCCACCTTACTACTCTCCCACTTTGTAGAAATTTTGACAAGTAGCGTAAACAACCCACCACTGACCAACCACGCCAGAGGACTAGATTTGTTCATGAATTTTAAATTCTTCGGGAGACATTTTCAAGCTTTGAATTGATGGTTAATTTTCACTCGAAAAACGCCGAAAGATAGCATAATGTAATACAATATCAGGTTTGGTGAAATTTACCTAGAAAGCCTCTCATTCAAATCCAAGTTTTGGTAATTTCCAATTTTTTTCAGGGCGAAACAACACTAAACAGACTTGAACTGGTAAAAATTACTGTGCAAAATTTAAGCCTACTTCTACTTCTTTTACATAACGATGTTTGGGTATCCATGTAAAGAGTTTTATACATCACGATTATGAAAAAGATTCTTTAAATAGATGTGAAAAAGTCGCTCCCTCATGATCTCATCAAGGTCAAATCCAGTAGAGGACCTTTACAGGCTCCAATTAAACTCTTTCACCACATTCGTCCATTACATTTTTGATCAATTTGTGTTGTAATTGCTATGACAGTTTTGATTATGAAAAAGGTCCGATTTCAATAGAAGTGAAAATGAGTCGTTCTCTCGCGCGGTCTCATGAAGTTCACATCCAGTAAAAGGACCTTAAATTGAAGCTCCGAATCAATTTTTAAACCATATTGGTCAATTCAGTTTCTTTTTATGTATTTGATATTTTTAGTTTTTTTATTTTTGTTTTTATACGAAAAGAATGACTAGAAGTTTTTTGAGTAAGATATTTCGGACGATATCCATCGTCCATCATCAGTAATGACTCACTATTAGTGTATTACAGTGAAATACTTTAAAGCCTGATGATGGACGATGGATATCGTCCGAAATATCTTACTCAAAAAACTTCTAGTCATTCTTTTTGTATATAAACTTTTGGCCCAAAGAAACATATTCACATGTTTGTTTTTGTTTTGCGATGACCAAAAACATATAACTTTTCGATTAGGTCTCTTCAACCGGATGTGAAAAATACTTTTTGTGCATTTGCAAGTAGTTTTGCTTCGAAATCGACCGGGAACGGGAGTTCTGKGGTGTGTACAAGGACGTACTTACGGATGGAAGGACGGAAGTAACCTATTCAAGCCATAAAAAATCAACTCGATGGATTACCGTTTTTACTTAAGTATGGTTTTCCGGTATAACATGTAACGACGACGGAATTATACAGAATATGACTGAGAATCTGGTCCAGTAAAATTGCTTGTCAGTCAACTAATCCCAGACAGTTTTAAAGCATTTTCCAGATGAAGATTGCTTAACTGTTTTAAACAATGCTGAATGTTAGCAAAAAAAATTGACATCCTTTCTAAAGAAAAAAATAAGAATCCTCATAAAAAATAGTGCCTTCAGACCATACCCCGAGACATCCGCTGGGTCGTCGTATGGACTTCGGACATGACGGCGATTAAGTCCCTCTGCCCTTGGGTGTACGGATTACGCAGGATTGTGTTCTAGCCGAAGCATCAGGGGAGAGACTAGCCGGCCCCCCAGACCATGTCTACAGCTAATCCCTTGCACTGCCACGCACTGGCACGTTGATTTGAAGTAGAAAATAACCTAGTCTATCTGGTGCATTGTTTTCATGGCTATTGTTTAGCTAATTTCCTGAAATACGCGTGGCCCAGAGGAAAAAACTTGGGCTTCTAAGACACTCTCATTTTTCGTTTTGTTTCTGACGGTTTTAATATTCTTTTAGTAAGTATTCCCTTTGTATAAGAACTGATTCCATTAAGCGAATGGTATGTAAAAAAAGCTTTTCTTTTAGGTTGAAAGTCCCGGGTTGAAAGTAAAACTATTGAAAGAAAGAATAATTTGATTTGCCTATAGGACCCAATAGGACGCGATGGGTTACCAACTTTTCTTAAGTATGGTGCTCCCGTTAAAAGAAATCAAGAGAAGCGGGGGTGATTTGCTTTTCCCTGTACGCTACGAGCCAGATTAGCACCCAGCTTTCCATTCGTTTTGTCAAGGACAATCGAGTGTCATTACGGCAGCAATTTTGTTGGTTGAAACATTAAAAAAATTTCTCCTTGAGAAAATAAAATATCTTTATTGTTCTAATTCCCAACAACATTGCTGCTTTGAGATGTATAAACTGTATATATATATATAWAAATAACATAAATAAAAAATGTAATAAATAAATAAAAATATAAAAAGTAAAAGCAAATTGCAGTTCGATTGTTGTAACCTAATTTTCAGTTTGGCCATCCCCGCCCCTCACCGTAAAGTTTACATTCCAGTACATCGCTATATAGCCTTCAGCTTCAATTAAATGCTCTATACTTGACCAGTGAACCCATGAATAGAAACGCTTCGCAAAACATTTTACATGACCTAGCATAACGTTTATAATTGATTATGGACTCACGAACTCATTTATAATACCTGTTATAGAGCACAATATCAGGAATCCAGACTTTCGACGGATCGATTCGTATTTTCTTAACTCCCCCATATTTGGCGGGATCCCAGCTTAACAGAAGATTACTCCAGTGCTGCGGAAAAGAAGTATATGTTTAGTCTATTAGTTATGGCTATCATTTCCGTTTCCTGCCAAACAGTACTAGTTTGGAATTAATGATAGCGTAACCTTTCACGTCTTTCTCGATTCCTGGACTGGAGTGACCACAGTAAATCCGTGAAACTTTAGTAATACTAAATAGCACAATTTTATGCAAATTCCATTGTTTTCTATTGTTTAACTAGCACTATTTTGTACTATTTAGTAATTAGTGTTTCATGGATTTACTGTGGTCACTCTAAATATGAGTTACTGAGTTACGTCTCTATTTTCATACGAGGATTTTTCTCCGATTTCCATCCCTCCGTCAAACCTAGCACGCTAAATTCCCATTCAATCTGTGAGTTAGCCTTGCCGGCCCGGACTTTGATCAGCTTAATGAGGTTCTTTCATAGTATCGATACAATTTGAAGTCACATGATTAATTAATCTAATCTCACCTGTCTGACCCAGACGTTCGTCGTAATAATTTGGTTTTTGTCATCCTGTTAATAGAAATAACAATTAGACCTCCAAAGGCTGCACAGTACATAGAGCTCAGGATCATATACTTTTTATCTTAGACATAAAATTTCTCATGACCTCTTGTCACTCGAGAATAAGATTCTTCTTTTAGTTGTATCCATATTCATGTGTAACCATTAAACAAGTAAATGTTATCATTCAAATGGTTTTTTCCGTGGTTTTGAAAGGCCAAGACACCTGCAAGTTACTACCTACAAATAGTATTTCTGCTCATGCGCGTTATGATGCAAAGCCGTTTTTCTGCAAATAATACTCTGCTCATGCGCAGTGACGACGCATTTGTCAATATGGCTAGGTTGTCTGTGATATGGTGTCCATGTTTGATGGAAAGCAAAAACAGCAAAAACGCAATTAATAAAAAAAAATAAAAAAGGGAAAAAATAATTTGAATGACAAAATACAGTTATTGAACTCGTGGTTATCATAAAATAACGCTTTTTGCTAATGGCGAGCAAGCAATCGTTTGCCGATTGGGCAAATGAATATATTTTACTCAATCGTCCAATAATTGTCTAATATTATCCTATGGGATGACATGTGCTCTGAAATCAGTGGGAAAACATTATGCCCAAGGTAAGTAGGTTTATTCCATTCCCATGTCAAGTATACTAGTCAGTTGTTAGTCTTCTCGCTTACCACATTAACAAGCTGTACAAGCTCTAGTCCAAACCGTACTCGACTAAAATTCTTGTTGGCATCAGGTACTGGATATGCATCTTTATTGTATCCATTCATAAGATCATTCAGTAACTTTTGTTCATTAGATTGAGCAGCTCCTTTTAAAAGAACGTAAAAACAGTGCCTTATTTTTGTCTGTTTGAAAATCATGTTTTCAGTATATTCCCTTTTTTCGTTTGGTAAATAGTACAGTGTTCTATAACACCGCTGCGCTTTATAACCTAAAGCTAGACTGATCTGCACAGGGCCTATTTTAAGAAGAGGAAGTCATTTGCTAATTTTAAAAGTCAACAGAATGTGCAATTCCCACCACAAACTTATCTGTGAATTGCTTACTCATAAACGTGGCTAAACCTGTACAAAGAACACAAAACTGGCACACACTGGAAAAGATTTTGTGGGAGAATAAGATTTTTATGGGGCTTTACTTATGCAGCAGTCATGTATACATGTTTAATCTATTGTCTAACACTTGAACACGAGTCTACGCGAAAAATGTTGCGAGACATGCATTCATTTCTACTTTTGGCAACGATTGCGTCTTTGTTGCAGCGTGTACACACTCTTTCAACTTGTGTCGGCAACGTCGTTGCAAGACAATAGGTTGCAGAGAAAATTGTTCCGTGTAATTGGCGCGCCTAAGTCATTTTGCGATTTTCCTTGACTTGAAATAAGTGTATATTGTTGGTTGCTTGTTTGAAATTGCAAGCCGAGTTCCAAGGAGGTGTAGAAATCGGTGTAAATTAATTCCAATAATTTTGGACTGAACCTAGCTAAGTACAATCTATCAACATATATAAGTGATGGATCTGGTTGGATTGGATGATGGATACTACGGATTCCATGCACTCATAGATACTGATCATAACCCACAACAGACATAATCGTCACATACGTTTTCTTCAAGATTACAACGGATCCAAGTCATTTCATTAATTATGGCCCGTGGAATTTGAATTTATTCGAAAATAATGACTGAGCCTTGATTTTTCCATCACTGACTTTTATGAAATGACTGCATAGTGTGTATACGTATTCCTCACTTACTTCGTATACTACCATGAATAACGAGCAATGATTCATTACAGACGAGAACTATGTTATACATCGCGTGTTCATCCACCAATAAACATGCTATAATGTATTTATCTATTTATCTATTTAAAAATAACGTTGTCGGCCGGAGATCTGAGATGGCCGATCTGAGACTAAACAGAATTTTYGTGCTTTTATGATATCTGGCTGAAATAAGAAAAAGCACATTCGTAAGTTAATATATAGGCTTAACATTCCAATCTAAAAGGAGTATACTGATTATATTTTGGAGTTTGCCACTCGGTCTCAGATTTCAGATCTCGAACCGACAAATAGATGTATTTCTTACTTACCTCGTACTATTGCGAAAAACSAGCAGTAGACGAAAAACCTTAGAACCTTCGTCATCATAGCGTTTTTCTTTTGAAATCTTTTGCTAAAATTCAAACATCAAAACAAATCAGAAATTATTTTTACGATATTATAATTACGTGAATGAAAGCATACATTCTCAATAATATTCAATATCTTTGATGTCATATTGAACAGTGTTTATTGTTTGGTGTTCGAGAAAATATACAAATGATAAAGAAAAGATGTTGCAGAACATACTGCGTATCGTTCCTCGACAGGGGTGTCGCAGCTTCTGCAAATATATAACTAAATAAAGGTTGAAAAGCTCTTATTGATTCATTTGTCAAAACAAACCTTTTGAAAATAAAATTTTTAAAAATAATCATACTATCAGCTATAAATAATTAAGCTCTACGTCACAATAGGCAGCGTATCTGTGTGTTGAATAAATCGGGTCATAAAAATCGAAAAGTGAACTGATTTCTCTCTCTCTCTCTCTCTCTCTCTCTCTCTCTCTCTCTCTCTCTCTCGCTTGCTACTAAAGATATTAAGCACTTTCCGTTTACAAAACCATACTAACGACCTTACGACCTTATTTTATGGAAAGTGCTTTTTTCGAATCCTTTATAACTTGCATGATATTTGAACTGAAAATYGATCATAACTGTCCATGTGACAAAATTTATCTAAAATATTGCATGTATTCAGTTTGATTATATATGTTTATGTATGTCATATATGTTATAATACACTCTCACAAAATTACTCAATTCTAAATCCCAAATTGTACTCTGTAGAGTCCCAATTAAGTTGTTCAATTTTTTTGAATATATTATAAACAAAAAAATCGCACACTCTTCTCCTACAATTCTGAATTTATAAATACTCGTGATGTTTTGACAGTTCTCAAATTGGAGAGTCTTCTCAAATTTTGAAAACTTTTAGAMCTCATAATTGTATCTATAAATTCTGAATCGTACTCGAGATCGTGCGATTTCCTATACCAATTTTCTAGTTTATATTAAAATAGTTTTATTAGTTTTTATTATTATTATTATATATTTTTTAATGTTATTTCCCATATTCAAAGAGTTACAATGAAACTACACTGTTTACAATGGAAAGCAAAATTAGATTATACCTATTCAAGCTTGGAGAAATCTTTTTCAGATATATATTTTGCATTCTGTCACCTGTTCGTGTTTCTGTTTCTTGCTACAGTTGAAGGTATTGGACTCGACTTTATGAGAGGTAAATAAAGTGTGTTATATAATTTTTACTCTGAAGGGTTTATTTTATTTATGTTCTTTTATCTGTTCGAATGCAATGCAAAGACTACCTTAACATAATCATCCATACTGGAGGAGCTTGGATTTTTTGGATAATCAAAATTCACATTTTGAAAATTTACCAAGCAGACACACACACACACACACAAAATAAATTTTTTTTTTTTTAAACCTTAATAATATTTCTTTACTTGGGTCAAAAACTGAAGGTCTTGTAATTTTACATCTTAGTTCGAAAGTTTCATTTAACAATGCACTTGATGCTCATTAGAGACTAACAGAAGCTAACAGTCTTGGTCTTCGATAAAACCACTCACATGAATTACTAAATACCAAAAAAATTGCTGTTGTAGTGAATGGTTAAATGATAACTAAATTYATACAAAACTGAATGCATGACTGTGTGGATGTGTTTCGTTCAATGACTATGAAAATGAAACAAGAATTAAACATATATGAATATTCAAAGAAACATGGCACAAGCCTAGAAAATCATGGCTGAAGGAGTTTGGGGGAGTTATGTTTTCATGYTGTTGAGAGCATGGAGACCATTAACTCGGCTATAGATCAGCCACTAAACTGTAGGATTCTCTAAAAAGCTTCTAAGTCATTTACAAGGACATTCGCAAGGACAAAAGTAAAATATTTACCATGCAATTTTTGGTCCTAATTTTCAAGCCTTCGTCCAATCTTTGGAGTTGATGACCAAAACCTTTCCCAAAAACAGCGAAACAGTTGCCAGTACTAATGGCTGAATTAAAAACCTCGGTACACCAACATTGGTAATTGGCATTAGAGATAATGATTTTATCTGGTCTTTGGCTCTTTATTTATCACCGCTTCTTGAATGAGAATCAAGTTAAATTGTGAAACCGCCTTTTGGCAGCAAAGTCAACATTCCTTGTGTTAATTGCAAAATGTCGAGGTTCTAACTTGGGGGGAAAAACAAGTTGTTCTAATCAGTTCTTTCTGGTAATGACTTAAAAAAGGGGAGAGAAAATCCCAGAATGTTGATTAGTGGGTAAAGTAATTAAACGTAAAAGCAAAGGCGATAAATTCAGTCGGTGAGTGATTATGATGTCAGCTTTGGTCGTTCGGTTCAGAGTCTAATAATGACGAGTGTTAATTGGGAACTTTGCGTGTTAAAATGATTCGGGCATTTTGTGGACTTAGTGAAGTCTGATTACAATGATACAGCACCTTCGAATTCTAACCTTAATTCAGTTTAAGAAATAATCTCTAAATGAAGATCAGTTGAGTTTTTAATGAATGGCTCGTGTTTTTTACCCGCTTGTTGATTGGCTTCTTTTTGAGTTTCCGATGCCAATACGTTACCTTCTCTTTTTGAAACTTCTTTATTTGCAACGGATTTTTCATAAAATGAGAGTTTATTTAAATAAATTAGGAAAGCAATTTTTTTAGTATACATAGCGGATTCGAAACCCAATTCAAGGAACAGAATTTTCGCGCTTAATTGAATTAACTTACCAATTAGTTAGTAGTAGTGTGAACTCAATTACACTTCATCCTGCTATGGTTGGATTCAGAACTAGTGATAGCCTTCCACCTTGGAGAAAATGTAGTGGATTAAAAAGGGGTGGTAATTATCTGTGTTCTGACTTGCTGTGACAATCCACAACTACATGAAAAGAAACGTTTTCATACATAAACTTGTGATTGACACTTTTTTTACGGAATAGAAAAAACAGTCTGGGTGAGATGGCGAGATTTAATGCATTTCTTAGTTTTCATAAATTTTTTTAAACTTTTTATTTTTAATGTCGCTGTTGACTGACGTCGTCTATATTACTTTAGCTTCGTCTATTAGACGTGAACATTGAGTGACTCAAAACAAAGTATACAAATATTACATAGTTTAAATACATAGGTTGGCTACCATAGTATTATTTATTATTTATGTATCCTAATATATTTTCCATCTCCAGTTGAACGACCCAACAAAAACAAATATTATTGAAATTTTTCCTCTTTTTTTTTGAAACAATTCTGCATATTTCGAAAGCTAAAACTTCAAAAATATAATTTTCAGAATAAAAACAAAAAGTTATCGTCTAATTCCGTCCGGAGTTTAACTAAATTTTTTTTCTTAATGTKTATATTTTGTTTCCATTCTAGAACATTATAGAAATATCTTATATAGGAAAATATACAAAAAAAAATTAATTGTTTCCCTTTTCTACGACATACGACATGCTCAACGTTGAAAACTGAGGGTTTGTCAACTACCCACAACAATCCACAAATATATAAAAAAAACTATTAAATCAGCCGGTGCTAACTGCAGTCCTCTCACAAACCCCACTTTTAAGACCTTATTGTAAACCAAGTCCTTCGTAAATTCAAAAATAAAAAAAAAACCAAAAAAAAAAAACGAATCAGTATAGATAAGAGTGATGAGTTGCTGTAGAATCTTGTGATAAAGATGTTTAGGTTAATTTAGTACTTCATGCGTTTTCTATTATTTTCATATATTTATTTATTTACTTGTCGAAGATGGAAAACTAGCTTTAAATTCAAAGAAAAAAATGTAAATGTGAAAGTCATTCCTTTTTTAGGTCAGTTCACTGACTTTTCGCAAACGAAGTGGTAGCTTACAAGAAAGTAATCTTGCTTTGTCGAAATTGTTACCAGAAATATTCACATATTCACTTGTCTCAGAAAAAATATCGACTTTGTTGAGTAAAAGAATAAAAAATTTCTTCAACTCATTATGCTTTTAAAATATTAAAACATCATAACAGAATCTCTACAAAGTTAAGAAGAATAAGCTGAGAAAATAAACCTTGCTTCTTATTTTTATTACAGCTTATTAAAAAGAATACTTCAAATAGCTTACCTCCAATTCTTGAATATGTAGATGAAGAATAACGAATGACAACCGTATCTGACACTGAAAACCTCGTTAACTGAGCAAGACTCCTATACCGTATGTAATAGTGCTAGAACCACGGAATACAGAATAGTTTAAAGAAAACAAGCTGCTTACTGCAGAGTCATGAGAATTTGTTTTCAATATTTACAGAAAGAATATAAATATTTGATGGATTTGAAATCGTAGGACGTCCCAGTTGGGGTTTGTAATTGAGTGATCCATATTAAAACTCTAATCCAATTTTGATTGCAATTATTTATCAATGGAACTAGATAAATCGTTATTTTTTAAAACAATGCAATCTTTCAAGCGAAAGCTACAGCTAATATCTGAATTTGGGAAAATTTAAGCCCGAGTTTAGAGTGGAAGTAAAGCACCTGTAACCCCCGCTGCGACAATCACTTCTTCAATGTGAAAATCAAATAAGTAATTTGTATCTCTTAAAGGATTAGCGGTTGAATAATTAWATCTTTTAACATTGACAATATAACAAGCAAGCCCTGCCATTAACTAAATTAGGATCCACTTGAAAGTGAGATTGTTCTGTAATGGATAAACCACATGCATCCCAATTCGTATTTCTAAAAAATGTTGATAGTCTTAACATTTAATTTTCATATAAAAATATACAAGATGTATAAAACTGCAATCTATGTTCTAAACAGTTCTATGGGAGATTTAACTTTTCTTCCTGGAAATTAAAAGCACAGAGTTTTGCACTCTTCTTGAAGTATAAATGCAGAACATATATTTGGTTTACAGCGTATTTCGTGTTTTGCAGCCCAAATGACTCCAGACGCCGCGGAACGTTTACAATTTTCTGGCTGCCGTCCATATCAGACTTACAGCGGTGTCTGAGTTTATGCTTCGCTTTTGAAAGATGCAAGCCAAAATTGTGGAGGTCCCAAAAACTTAAAAAGTCTGTGCTTAAACTACCTTTTCCAAAAAACTCGTTCTAAATTACGTTCCATTAGAAATTTTTCATTATGCAGCAATTGTTCATGAATTGAATTGCGGGCCTTTGGACAATCCATCCGTTATTTAGCATCCCTGAAAGCTCAGGTCTTTCCAAAATAGGATAAACCTTCATTATTACAGCCTTGACGCATTAACGCATGCGCAAACGTATACCGTGGTGTGACGCCAATATCGGGTGGTGACTCTCGTTAAAGATTAACAATTAAGCTGATTTTAGCTATGTCAAAAACTTATAATGGAGTTGAAACTAAAAGCATGATCTGGAAAACTCTAATAATGCAAATTAGGACTTTTTATACAAATATTAATTAAGAGCTTGGTTTCAAAATGGCCGCTTCCCTCACACTATCAAACTTCTCGCTGAATTTCCTGACTTTCAGAGCAGATTTACTAAATCTCAATCTATAAAGCGCGGAAGTTGATGGCGCAGGGGAGTAGGGTAAGGTGAAATTTAAACCGCATCCGGTTACTAAAAGTAACCAAACCGAGAAATCACATGGTGCGCGCGTGATATTATGAAGTTTTCCTATCTTATTTATTGCTCTCTTGGTAGAGGAGAATCGCTTGAAATTTCTCCACAAACGTAACATCGATTAGAAATTATTTTTGTTGATAAATTGTCGAAACATTTACTCGTTTACTTATCATTCTTCTCGTTTAAAAAAAGTAATAACGGTTTTCTCAAGGTTGCGTGCACATCCAAATTTAAGGAACTTGACGAGCCATGATACCATAACACGAGTAGTATCATGCATTGCTATGATTTTTTTTTCGATAACAATTCATAAAATCGATTATTCTCCATCTTTAAGTATAAAACTGTCTTCTCAATTTTACTGAATTTGCGTTTTTCAGTTTTGTGGCCCGTCAAGTTGAATGCGCACGCAAGCTTGAGAAAACGGTCTACATATACACGGACGCAATGAGGTTCTATAGGATGATTTAATTGGTTTAGGGTTTCGGCACTTATTTGTCAACAACACTTATGGGGAGAATGTATAATACAAGTAGCACCAATAACACGAACAGAAAGCATAGTAATATATAGGCAAAGTAGTGAGAAACCAAGTGGAATAAGATTCTCTTGTCAGTATTTTTGATTTCCTGGCAGCAATACAGGTAGCAGATAGGCAGCAGTACAGACAGCAGTACAAGCAGCAGACAGGCAGCAGTATAGACAGCAGTACTAAGCAGCAGTACTAAGCAGCAGTACAGGCAGCAGTACAGGTAGCAGTACAGACAGCAGTACAGACAGCAGTACAG